CGAGGACTCAGCGCATTTTCCTCAATATAAACAGCCTGACGCGCTTAAAGCTATCACGATGCACTAAAAGCCGTGGCTTGGAAGGTTGCCAACTGACGGGGTAGCTTGGACCTCGCAGTCAGTCAAGCGTGTGTGTTTGTGCGGATTTGCGGAATGAGAGTCAGGCTGCAATAGCTCCCTCTTAATGCGGCCTCCATGGCACCCCCATTTAGTGGGTTCCGAGCCGGGTGTGGCGGTACGTCTAGGGACGACTACGGCCGCGTCAAACACCTGCACCCTCTCCCACCTCCGGTCTTCTCAAATGTCTCTTGGCATTAGATGATTGTAAGGAGAAGGAGGGGAGAGTGCGGCAAATGCAGCGAAAGTGTACTACCACCACAAATGAAGTTGCGCGAAAGTCGTCGTCCCCTGCTCGCACTCTGTTGTCGAGCACACTTTGGACATCGTCGAAATCGTCGGTCGAACCGTCGTATGTGCACAACTCGCGCTATAAGGTGTATGGGGACGTCCGACAATGCCTGTCGTGTAGATCGTCGATACCGGTTGTGTGTGGTTCATGCATCCCTATTTGACCGTGATCAGCCTTACTTTCGCACTCGCTGTCTACAGCCATACTTGATGGACCAGGTGACTGCATGGTCTATCTAACTTCCCTATATGTTCAGAAGACGAAGATGCGATCATTGGAACAAGAAATTTATTGGCCGGACGTTTCGGATTCTCACTCGAACGCATCCCCAGAGACAGTCGCAGATAGGGTTAATGGTGGCGCAAGGAGTGCAGTATTTATAGCACGTGGCCGCCGTGGGATCATATGCGCACTGTAATTAACAGCTCTCGCAATCACCGCTGGGGTCGTAATTGATGCGATGGTGGCTTGTCAGTCCGCGGGCCATTTGGGCAATCCATCAACAAGCGCAATGACCTCCCGTTACCGTATTCCGTGCTGAGATTTCCCTTGAGCAGGGGAATCAGTCACGCAGGGAGGGCGCGGGCGAGCAATGATCCCAGCGACAGTGAGTCAATCGCGGCCCTCAACAACTCGGACGCGGACAGACAAGCCACCGTCGCATCAGTTACGACCCCAGCGGTGATTGCGAGAGCTGTTAATTACAGCGCGCATATGGTCCCACGGCGGCCACGTGCTATAAATACTGCACTCCTTGCGCCACCATTAACCCTATCTGCGACTGCCTCTGGTGATGCGTTTGAGTGAGAAGCCGAAACGTCAGGCCAATAAATTTCTCGTTCCAGTGGTCGCATCTCCGTCTTCTGAACTGCTACCTGGAACTCGCCTGTTCGCTTCCCTATATGTGTTGTCCTTTATAAGTTATAAGTTAAAGCCGCATGGGCCACAGCCAGGTCAGTATGGCTGTCGACAGTAGCTGCCCCGTTGTGCCTTCGCTACCGTGACCGACGAGCACGCCGAAGTCACGTGCCGTCTAGGTAGCATTAACTGCTACCCTTGACTCCAGGTCTAATGTCTTAACCGTCATTTCGGGCTCACCCATCCTCATTGCAATTATCGGTCGGCTTCTCGAATCTAGTTGTCTTCTGCGTAGCTTAACTGGCGATTGATTTGGGGCCTCATATCAGAAATGCGCCTCTTTTTGCGCTCACTTCTTCTTCACTCCCCCTTCTTCTTCTT